GACTACAAAAAGGTTACCCTGGTGCAAGCAGTCATGGAGTGGTCATGGTAACAACCAATTTACATAGATTTAGTTGACCAAAATATCAGCTTAGTAATCATTCAGATTTTTGAATGTTCTTAGAAATCACTGAGCAGCATGATACATCTCTTTGCCTCAAATGAAACTCCTTTTCAAAGCCTAATATGCTGAGCCATCTGGCAACACATCACAGAGGCTTCCACAATCTAAAGCTTACAAGAAATTCATTGCCTTGGGAGTAAAGATACCAAATATCTTTTAAACTAGAAAAATTTTCTGTGCTTTGTTGAGAGGGGTTTTTTTGGGGGGGAGGGGGGTACATCTGCAAATGTTTCTAAGATCAGGAGCTGCTCCCTTATAAAATACAAAGATCTCAAGATTACATTCAGACTATGGTGCTGGAAAGAGTAGATTAATTCTTTACCCACTGCGCCATCTTTCTTATTTGAATTAGTCCACCCCAAAACTCCTATTTTGTTTATTGTTAAAAATACACAATGAAGGACCCTGTATGACAAGGGCATTGTCAGCAAATGTGTTGCAACTTCTATTGATACATGTATGCACAAGAGGAACAGGACAGAAGTAGACTGGGAAACCTGCTGTTCCAGTAGGGAGACCTTGATGATACCAGGCACTAATCAGATAAAAGATAATACATGAAAAGTCTCTTTTTGAACACTGACTCAGAAGTCATGGTGTCACAGACTTGGATTCTTAAGTAAGTAACATTAGCCCTTGAGGGGATAATGGGGAGATACAGAACGTGGAGCCTTATACAAAAGAAAATCTGAAGCTAATGTGCTTAGAATACACAGGTATAAGGGAGAGAACAATTCATTTAAGCACTGCATACTCATGACTGAGGGCACAGGCCTTGCTCACTTGTGACTGTGGGTATAGGGCTTAAAATAGTATCAGTTGAGCCCTGACACTTCTCAGAGCAAATGTCTGCTACCTTGGAGCTGCCTGGTAGAGCCTGCATCCTTGTAACTTGTAGACTTGAGACCTAGCAGTACAGTACCTGAACTAGTTACTGACTTGCCCCAACTGCCTCCATGTTATCCATATCCATACACTTCCAGACAGTAATTGGAGAACTTGACTCAATTCTTCATGGGCCCAACTAGCCACAATGGGACACCAAAAATTATTTCCAGGGACTGACAAAATCTATGTTTGTAAGATTAAGCACAGACCTGCTCATCCTTAATGAAACTCACAAATCCTTCCTCCTTCCCTTGTAATTTGTCAAATGGTAGCTAATGGAAGAATCCCAAAAGGTAAGGGATCCTTGGTATGTGATCACATTTTGTAAACCCAGTTTTTAGAGAATTTTAGAAGACCTGTTTAAAATGTTGTCCTTCAGCAACTGTTTTTCTGAAAACCTTTTTTACAAAAATGTCTGGATAAACAGTACTTATGTACAATGAAACATACTGAACACCAGTAGTAGCAACTAGGACCACATGTGGCCATCATTGACAAGGAAGCAATTTAATAAAATGGCCCTGTGGCTGCTGTAATAATTGAATAGAAACACCTTAACCAAGACATTGGCCAGGCCTCTGACAGCTGACTGCCAATCAGTTTGTGCTTGAGGCACTGTACAATGTGTGCCACTCTGAGCTGATAGTCTGAAATGTGCAGGATAAACAGCAATAGAGTCTGCAGACTGGCTCAAATTAGGCTGACCTAGCAGACAGCGACACTATTTAGTGCCTATTTTTATCATCACTTCTGTGAAAATGACTTTTCCCATCATTTTTTTCCTAGGAAAAATTGTTTTCCAAATGAGCGTTAGAACTAAGCCACTCCCCTCCTTCATATTACCTTCACAGAAGGCTAGGGTATATGGTAACATTGATCTATTTGCTTCTAGCCTTCATTAATTTTACTCATCCCTGAGGGTGGAACAGCTTTGGTAAGAGCTAATTAAATCGTATTTAGAGCTGCTCAGTGAATTTTATCAAGTCTAGGATGAATCCTTTTGTTTTAATGGAGACACAAGGATCTTTTTCCCCAGCTATTACTAATTAAAGGATGCTGTATGATTTTCTATTACGTCTTTAAACATCAAAATTCAGGTAAATGTTCAAAAGGGAAAAAAAGTCCTTTTACATTTGGTTGCTGGCTACATTCCTTCAAATATAGTTTAAATTCTCCTTTCATCTGATTCTGTGTACATAATACAGCACTGAGAAGTGCTAATGAAGTACTTGAAAAAAGCTGTCAGCTTTAGAGTACTTCCAAGATAGTACAAACTAAAAGGCATTAGTATGGAAGTGTGAGTGTCTGCCAACATCTATTATTTATGCACAACAATTATTCAAAAGGGAGGAGAGTTCACATTGCCTTCGACACATAAATATTCACTAATGAAGGTCTCTACAAGGAGCAAACCTGCCTTCACGTTCATACTGTTATGGTGTCAAGCATGATCATCTTAATTTAACAGCCCATAGCAGAAGACACTTGTGCTTATCTAAGATAAAGAAATGACCTGTTTGGAAACCTGAAATACTGGTGGCTGTTAGCTTCTTAACAGGGGTTGGCTTTGACCATTCCACCAGATAACATTAATAAATGAATTTCAAATTCTGGCATCAAGGTCATTAAGTATTCATTGTCTAAAACAGTGCTGCATTTTCTTGTGGTGGGAATATTTAGTTTCTCAAAATTATCTAACATTGATGTGTCACAGAAAACTTGGTAAAGGCTTGACAGACTAGAAATGTGTTAGGATATTACCATACATTGGCAATAATTAGCATATGCACACTTCATATTTTAGGAATGAACCTCCTAAAATATACACAGTTGAAACTTGGACTGTACTTTTTTTATAATAGGAACCCATTTGGTTTCTGTCTAACATGGTTTGCACAAGGAAAGAAGACTAAACAAACATTGGAAGTGAACCTTCCTATTTCTCCTAGGAAGTAGAAGAACATTTGGTTTAAGAAACAAAATGAGAGAGAAACTGAAAAAGTGAACAAATGTCTAACCATTTGGCAAGGCACACACAACCATTTTTCTCACATATGGAACTTGGTTATTCTTTGACATTTCAGCCACTGTCTCAGAAACAAAGACCCATTCACTGTCATACCCCTCCATGGAAAGGAGGTTGGATGTATAACATATGGAACATGACAAGCAAATCAACATAATCCACGGACAATACTATCTTGGAATCTGATCCAAGAACTGGGCTCCAGTCCTGTCACTTTGATATGCTTACAGGTTACTTCACTAAGCCTTACATCCCAGTCTATAAACTGGGACCTTGTAGAGTATATCTTGACACTCACTCAGCTCACATTCTGTCAGCATAAGATGTGTGCCAATGGAAGAGTCTATTGTGTTAGTATAATGCACCTTGAAACAAACAAACAAACAAACAAACAAAATCCCTCTAAGCTGAGCAGGATGGAAGGATACTGCATAATGGCATAATGTTGCCAATGCAAGAATAAGATTGGAACCAATGCTTTAGCTTTAACTGTAACTTTGCTAATAGAAGGTGCAACATACAGAGTGAAAAATCTGACCAATCACCCATAAAAAGCCCTATTTTGATGGTGCAGGATCAGACTGACACTGGTTAAATTGGGGTCTTGTGGAGTAACTCAAGGGGCCATACGTTTCTTTAACGTCGTCATTTCTCTCCAGATCTTTTCATGGTAGTTTTACCTATACCTAACTACTGTGCTTCACAATCTCAGCTCAGAGACCAACTATGCAATACATGAAAATAATATAACAGTTCAAACATATTTTTTTCTCTCCTGACTGATCTTGAATTGATCTTGAAAGCAGTGTGGATGAACGTACTTTTTTCCTGGACACCTCACTTCAAATCTTCCTCCCTGAAGTTCTAGATGCATATTTAGGGAAGATCTGAAGCAGAAAATTTGTCAACATGAAAATGGTTAAGCAGGCCTCTTCCTTCTCCTGTACTAGACCAGATGATGAAAACACAGGGCAGTGAGTCGTCATGGCTCTGGACAGTCTATATTCCATATAGCAGGCTATCACAATTGCATTGTAGTGAGTATTACTGTACTCAAAACCCACCTTTTTCCAGAGCTGCTTTTCTGTAAAGAAAAATGGTATTCAGGTTTTGTTACATGCATTTGGTCAGGATGCACAGTTTGCCCCACAGAACTGGGAAAACACAGCCTACTAAAGTAGTTAGTTCATTATGAGATATATAAACATTATGCATCTGTAGTAGTACAAGGCAGTGTTTCCTAAATTGGACTATGTTGTTGATAAAGCCATCTGCCAGTGCTTAAATCTTATAAGGTTTTTAAAACATTGATATACATATCCAAACATAAAAATTAAAAATGGATTGAATTGGCTAAGGTTGGGTTGACAGTCTCTTATGCTTACTGAATCATCTTGTAATGTTTGAAAACTTGCAAAACCTTTAATAAACAGTCAATTACAGATGTCTTTATGCTGTATCTTCACTTCTGCATGACCAGCACAATTGTGATAGCCTGTTATCCATAATATAGATAGTCCACATCCAGGCCAAATATAAACCACAAAGGTGCACTGCCCGATATTTTCATCATCTAATCTAGAAACAGAAGAATTAGAAAAATGCTGTTTAAAGAAGAGCACAAGTAATGTTCCTCCCTTCTGTGGAAAGTGTCAACTCGAAAGTAAACTCAGCTGAAAAACAGCACACAATTATGCAAATGCTTCAAGTAAGCATCCAGTGTCATTTGGTACTCAGGCCAACAAAAACGAAAAGAACAGAAGGAAACAGGGTTGGGGTAAAGAATACCTAGCTGATGTCTCACCAAGTACTCCCAGCAGTCAAAACATACAATAATCCATTTTAAAAGTTGGTCAAGGGGCTTTATAGCAGTTGGCAAGGACAGAACTATATCACAGCAAGATCTTTAATTTAGTCTTTGAAAATGTATATGCCAATCTGTGCTTCAAAATGTAGGACTTACCTGTCTTTCCCTGTTTCCTTCTTAAACACTTCATCACAGTAACTCATGCGCTTTTCTGTGGTCACATAAATTTTGGCTCCAGGGTAATTGTCCACTGTCTTTTTCAACATGTTGTACACAATACCATTGCCATCTTTCCTCATGTTTCGAAAAGGTCCCCAGATGACATAGATTGTTCTGTTGGTTTCCCTGAAAAAATATTCAGGGTTCTTAAGCAGAAGAGGAACACTGGTATGGGAGACAACTCGGACTGTTGTCCTCTTCCCAACATCTTCTTCATAGCCCTTGGTAGGAGCATTGTTCATCCTCCATATACATGATGACTGATCGATCTCATATCCTACTTTCTGTGCTGCCATTTGTCCTGAGTTTGAAATAATGGCACAGATGTCACAGTCCAGATGTAAAGGCTATGGGGGAAAAAAAGAGAACAAAGTAACCATCAGGTGTTTCCCCATGATCTCAATTGGCACAAGAACGGGAATAGCCATCCTTAAAATAGGATATTCCAAGAGACTGATATTTCAATGGCATTCATATGGTCAGCTTGTCTCACTGAAAGAACTGCAGCATGACTTGGGAATTACAGGATGCTTCAATTACTGCCCAACTTTTAGGCTACGAAAGTCCTGACACAAAGCTGAGCCACAGAGAAGCCATTTGTAGTTGCCTAAAACTATAGGCTTGGACAAACCTGGAAAGAGATGTCTAATTTTGCTGCTTCATGGTTAAACACAATAGCAGAGGCTCCAGGGGCATAGAGATCTCTACCATCAGGGGCTGAGATCTGGGGAAACAGCAGGCTAGAGTAAACAACCAGACAGGAAGATTCCTGGCCTTCCCCAACCATAACAAGTACCCAGCCATATCGAAATTCCAGATCTCCTCAAGGGAACACTTTACACACACCTCATGAAAAAGGAGAAAACTCATCTCTACCATATAGATAAAGGATTTCTTTTTATGCTGGCTTACCTTTGAAAGATCACATTTTTATTATTCCTACATTCTGGTGCGAACACCCGATCCCCTCAGTCTCAGTTAAAGGGTATAAGAGTTATCCTGTATCCCCAATTTTTGTAGCTAGCTTTGAACACATCCTGCTACCCCAGCCTCTCTGTAGGCCTCTCGCCTGTCTGTTCTACAGACCTGTCTTCATGTCTGGTTCCCCTGCTTGGTCAGTTTCCTCCCCCAATGACACTTTGTCACCGTTGAGAGCAACCTTCCCCATCTATCTGGGAGCAGGCTTGTATGTCTTGTTTTCCCCCTTTTAGTTTTATTTCCCAGTAGGCAGGCAGTTTTCTAGGGGAAAGTTTTTGTTTGGCATTTACTGCATTGTTTTTTCCTTTCTGTAATTGTCATTCCATTTTTCTGCTTGATTAATTTAGTCCCTTTTTCTGTTTACAAAATAAAAACCCCTTCTGTTTAAGAGTCTTTCCCCCCTTATATTTCCCAGTGTTGATCTGAACCTAGGGATGCCAGTCCCCAGGTGGGGGTGGAGGATCCCCCAATGTCGCAGGCTCCTGCCCACCGCCAGCCAGCTGGCCAGTGAGAAGCCCCACCCCAAGCCCCACACCTCACAGCGACCACCACAGTCACCCCTGTCCCTCCCCTCCTGTAAAGGGCCCTCCAGCTGATTGGCGAAAGCACATGGCCCGCCAAAATGGTGGAGGGCCCTTTAAATCTTGCAGGAGGGACAGGGAACCTTTAAATGCTTTTTGCAAGTGAGGGCCATGTGTGCCTGAACTCCAAGCAGTGAATTCGCCACTTGGAATTTAGGCGTGTGGTGAGCTGGCACCCCCCCCCCCACTTGCAAAAAACATTTAAAGGGAAGGTACCCTTTAAATGGTTCTTGCAAGCCGGCACCTGTGTGATGTCCTCACGTTGGGGATGTCCCCTATCCCTCCAGGAATACCCCCCAAAGTCCTCCACTGGGGAGAAGGCAGGACCTGGCAACCCTATCTGAATCTAGACCTTGGTGTACACAGGCTTCAGAGCCCAAGTATATTAAAGAACCCCAAACACATGGGTTTGCTCTGTGCTAAGGGAATGGCTTTGCATGCTACAGCCCTGACATGTCTGGCCCATTTTGGTAACACAACAGGCCAGAAGAAAGAAGGAAAGACCAAAGAAATCACTGTATTAAAGGTGAGGCTAGAAGGCTCACGGGACTACATTCCAGAACATGTCAGCCTGCATGAAGATGAATCTATCAATAAGTGATAGAAAGGGTGAAACACTGTGGAATTTTAACAATGGTGAAAAAATATAATACTAATAATTATAAGCAATGGAATCCAGAGGAGAAGAGGCAACAACTCATCTTAGCCTATTATACTACAGTCATTATTATTACAAGCCCAAAATTACTTCCTACTGTAATCTGCATTTGCACTAGTAGTGAATGGTTAGGAGAACACTGAGAAGAAAATAAGGGGGGGGGGGGAAGTACAACAATGTGGCAGCAAGAAAAAAAGGAGTCACCTCCCACACGGGAAAGTAAATGTAACTATTAATAATATGATAACAAAATCTGATATTTTCTCCTACTGGTACTGTCATTGAACATTGTGTAAAACGTATATCTTTTCTCAGCAATTCCAGGTCAGCCAGATAATAGTTGTTTCCATCTTTGCCACCATTTGTTCTTTCATGGTGGGAAGGGGGGGAGTTGAAATAAAGTCATGGCATGCCGTTTATACAGAAAAGTTGCTCTCTGGGCAGTTTGGCTTCTATGAAAATTATGTTGGTTTAATGCTGGAGATGGGTTATTCAGGATCAAAAAAGAAGGGATGTACTGAACTGTTCATATTCCAGGTATCAGCCATATCTATATGTGTACCAGACGGATATCTGGACATTTTTTTGTCATCATATCAAAGCTGACATATGGCAAGGTTTTCAAGGCAAGAGACATTCAGCGGTGGTTTGCAATTGCCTTCCTCTGCATAGCAATTCTGGTGTTCTTTGGTGGTCGCCCATCCAAATACTAGCCAAGGCTGACCCTTCTTAGCTTCTAAGATCTGGTGAGATCAGGCTAACCTGGGCTTTCCAGGTCAGGACATACAAGCATTAGCAGCTTAAATAATGATGAGAGAGAGTAACTGTCAAATAGAATAACCTCTGACAATACAGCTAGTGATGTTCATGTTGTAAGTTCCATGCTCTTTGAGAACTGTAAATATGTCTTAACCATGTTGTTATATTCTGAAGCTTTATAAGCAAACATATTAAAAGCTTTGTTAGAGTTTTCCCTTGGATGACTGTGGCCCCGCCCCCAGCGTGCCCCACGTCGTCATGTCACTTCCGGGTGACGTGCACGTTGGGGTGGGGTTCCCCTCAGGGCCCGATCCGCCGGTGGCGGGGAACGTGCCTCTGGGGCGGAGGTTTTCCCGCCCCCCGGGGGGACTTGGCAAGCCTATCAATAACACTATGGTATTTGGGCAACAATTCTATGGTAAAAATGATTTCAACCATAGTTTTTGCCCATCTACCAGAGCGTCTTCATGTCACCAGTGACATGATGACATCAGTTCCAGTGCTGACAGAAGTGACATCACCACATCACCAGCAATGGAGGACTAGGCCTAGTTTTCCTGCTGGTAAGTCCCCACCTGCCGGTTTCCAGGAGGTACTTGGCAACCCTATCGTCAATGGTAAAAGTTTGAACAGAATTGATTTTTGTAATGGTGATAGCTCTTCTTAAAAATCTGATTCCTTTCATACAAAGTTAAAGATGCTTCACCACAAAGCATGCACCAACATCCCTACTGCTTTTTAAAGAGAGTGATGTATATTCTATAATCTTTTTAATTTGTTCTGCGTAGTTCCTTGGAAGTGTGGATGGAATCTCAGAAGATGTAGATGAAAAAGGACATTTCTATTTACTATATTATGCAGAAATCCCATCTCAAAGATACTAAGTCACTGCATAGATAGTTGATGTATTTTTAAAAAATCATACTACATGCTAAAATAACACAAATGACAATGGTTCAGTTAACCTGTTACTTTCAAGAAGAACAATGTATAATACGGAGAGACCGCCTCTTCCCATATATGTCCTGGAGAGCACTACATTCTATGAATCAACGTTTCCTGGTGGTCCCTGGTCCGAAAGACATCTGTCTTGCCTCGACTAGGGCCAGGGCTTCTTCTGCCATGACCCCTTCCTGGTGGAACATGCTCCGCATTGAGATCACAGCCCTGCAAGATCCTCTTCAGCTCCTCAGGGACTGTAAGACAGAGCTGTTCCACCAGGCCTTTGGCTGAGGCAGCGGGCATCCATGTATGGCCTCCCTGAGGTTTCTGTCTCCCACAACAATAGCTATCCATCTGCACCAACGGGCCAGAGAACCTCTTGCAACCAGCCAATTTCTGTCCATGGGCTGTGAGCACCAATTTTAATGTTTACTATTGTTTTTTAATATTTTTAATTGTACTTATTGTATTGCTATTATCTTGTTACCTGCCTTGAGCCTGCTTGCGGGCAGGGCAGGCTATAAATATGGAAAACAAACAAATGAAGAAAATTATATAGAGAGAGTTGAAAATATGTACAGAGTTGCAAACATCCAGACAGCACCAGGAGGTCTCTTGCTATTACATCTGATGTCCAGGTGACAGAGATCAGTTTCCCTGGAAAAAAGGGCTGCTTTGGAGGGTGGACTCTATGCTATCACACACTGCTGAGGTCCCTCCCCTCCCTAAACTGTGTTCTCTCCAAGCTCCTCCCCCAAAATCTCCAGGTGTTTCCCAACCCAGAGCTGGCAACCCTAACCATTTACCTGAAAACCTTCAGCCTAGGCTTTCTACCTCTGAGCAGTCTGGATTTCCATTTAAGTATTTTTGTTCTTCAACTTCATGGTTTTCTATTTCTTTTCTCCATTAAAATCTATGACTGCTTTAAATCCTGTCATTAAGTCCAACAGCCTTCCATGGAAATTTGATTTTATGTTGCCTTATCTGTCAGCCAAACAGTTCTGCCTCAATAAACTGCTCTGTCTTAGCCTTTTAATTTGCACCTCTGCTCGTCTCCCACTTTTGTTATGATCCTTGCAGTTTGCTTCACTTTAACAAATCCCTTCGTTATTTTTGAGTTGTTGGATGAGTCATTTGAAATCTTTTCTATGATGTGCACTACCTTTGATTGTAGTAGTGTTTTTGCATAAAATTAGTTGCATCCTCTGCGATGCCTTTCAAGTAATTATCATCTTTTACATGTACATCATTTAGACTTAACTTTTACTCAGCTGGGAAGGAGTAAATATAATAAAAACATTCAACATATTTTTAACCAATTTTCTATAATTGAGGGGAAGTGCACAGTCACTTCTTATCCCAAGGGAAATGTGCTAACTATTCACACGATCATGCAAAATTTGATTGTGTTCAGTTTACTCTCTATTCT